GATTTGTTAATGTTAGCCATAAGGTACATTTATCTTTATTTTGAAGTCATCGCTGATGTTTATTCATTGAAATCTAATACTTGGAGAAGAATTGATGGCTTTTCTCTTCCTATAACCTTTATAGATCATGAATGGTTAGGGACTATTCATGATGGTGTCATTTATTGGAATGTGAACTGCGAAACGAGTCGTGGCCATCACAAATATGAAATTTCGTGTTGTGAAATTCTTGAATTTCATCTAACATCTGAAAAGTTTGTTGTAATTAACTCGCCTAATGATACAAGATGAAGACATGATAAAAATGTTACAGTGGTAGTGCTCAGAGGATGCCTAAGTTTGGCTTAAAACAATGATGAGAATAGCATAAAGATTTGAAAACTGGAGATGGATAAAACGAAATAGAGTTGGATAAGGTTCTTGACAATTACAAATCTTCCGCCATTGAAACCAAGCCATCATTTAGAGCAAATATGCATATTAGCAAACAGTGAAGTCCTTTTTGCAAATGGAGGAGGTGGCCTTACTTGAGAGTAAGGAGAAATTTAAATATATTAGACTTGTTTAATCTACTCAAAGGCACCTACAGAAGAGTCAAAGTTACTCATATAAGGTAATGGTTTTAGGCAAAAACATACATGAAGAGTTTGGTTTCACCAAACTCTTATGGCTTCTGATCATGTAGTTGTTAAATAGTTTACTTATGTTGGGCATGTTAATTAGGGATGAATTTATACAAAGGCTAATGTGTATGGATAACTTGGTTTAGGGTTACAGATATTTGTGGACTTTGTAATTATTTTCTTTCATTTGAATGATTTAGAAGCTTCAGATTTGGTATAAATTGATTGAACACACCATTCGAATATATTCGGTGTTGTTACACACCATCGATAATATGCAATTGCTCCTACATACCGGGCTTATATAATTTGTTGTCACACACCATTTATAGTACGCATGTTTTCATATATTCAATATTGCTACATGCCAAAAACAGTTTTGGCATTCCATGAATAATGACTATGACATTGTGCATATGATTGTACGCGCCATGTAAAAAAACAAACATAATGTTAAAAGGCCATCAAGATTTCATATTGCGTAACACATTGCAACCTTCTAACATGTAAATATATTTGTACAATTATCATTTGGGTGTACGAACAAACCTCAAACACATCATGTCAAGCAGAATGTGCGTAGTGGACATGGCGTTTATAGACACACAATATTTGCATACTAAATGGGCGTGGAACAAAATATACGATAGTAGGCATGGTGCATAAGAATATTTTATAATAGTAGGCTATCGTTTATTAATGTAAATATTCATGGGTTATTGCATATTTGTAAACGAAATGTGGATACCATATAATCTTTTATATATTTCCTCATTTGACTAAATGCGGATACCATATTCTTGGGTAATCATTGAATTGAAGTGATCGAACATTACTCATTCCGTGTAGTATCAACGTTGAACTCATCTCGAAATCCATGGGGTATCAAGGCCAATATGAAAAGGTTTATCAAACATTTTACCATGATCATATAAATTCAATCTCTTAAGTCAAGTTTACAAATATTTAACTTAATAAGACTTTTAGATTGACGAGAAGACCAAATCAACAACTCTTCAAGTGCAAGACAACTAGACAACAACCTTCGAATTGCATCATCATCCATAAAGTCTACATCACCATTATGGATAGTCTTCAAACTTGGAAAAGATACCTTAGTAGGGATGCTTATAACAATAATAGTATAAACACGTAGTTCCAATTGGATGAGTGTCTTATTTCTAAAGAGACTGAAAGGCAGCAAACCTCAACAATCATCTCTAATGAACATCTATAACTAAAGTTGTTCAACACTTCACCATAATACAATAGATAGAATATACCCAAAAAGTCAATAACCTTCATGATCTTTGTATAATCAAGAGTAGAAATTGACGAACTAAGAAAATCTTCCACCTACTTGATAAAACGAAGATGTGAACTGAATATATTATGGGAAGCAAGGACAGTGTTTCAGACATAATTGAATCCGATAAAGCACTGAGTCTTTCAATGCTGTTGTTGCCTTCATGTTGCCCAACGGTGGTTTTCGTGCACTTGGGGCGACTAGCCATTTGGGGATTGTGATTTTGAGTTATTTTTTATGAAACTTAAATAGTTGGAATGATCACAATGGTTTGAAATAGCTTTTCTATGGATCAATTTAGGCCCTAAAGCTTGAATAAACACGAGAATTTGAAAATTCTAAACCTAAGGTTTCACATGGGTTTTTCTTCAATTTTTTTACAAAACAATTGTTTTCAATGGGAAAAAAAATTACATTTTGATTCATAAAAAATGCATTAGAAAAACCTCAATTGGAGCCCACTCTTCAAAAAAATAAAAAGACATGCAGAGAGTTAAGAGAATTTGAAGATTTGCTTTACAGGTTGTCTTCAAAATACTCTTTTGAGTGTTTAAAACTCCATCCAGAACAAGTTAACTTTTCTTACCTGCCATGCCTAAATATTTTCAGTTGTTACATGCCAACCTAACAATATTCAATTAAAACATGCCATGCATCATCACTAAGTTGCTACACGCCTTGTGTAATCGCTAAATTGTTACAGTACATGCCTAAAAATTGAATGTTGATACATTGTATGTAACAACAATATTTTTTTGCCTTGTCCTACATGCCATGCCTAAATTATCCATGTTGTTACATGCCATGCCAATAAATAAAGTTGTTACACACCATGCGTAACAACTAATAGATGCCCTGCATGTTCATGTGTTTGATTGAAAGCATCATACCAAGAAGCACTTGTATTCATCCAACAACTTTAAATTTCGATGTAGAGTTTTAAGATGTTTAAATTAGCAATCTTGATTCTCATTACTTTGATTAAATATATAGAAACTGAATGTCTCTTCACCTGCCTTCCTTGAAAACTATTACATTCTGAAGTTTCTTCATTTTGATTATTTATTTATATGTTTTCTGTCGAGCTAAACCTTTCAAATTACCAAATGTTTCTACATGCCATGCCAACAAATAAAGTTGTTATGCACCATGCATAACAACTGACAGATAGCCTACATGTTTATGTGTTTGTTTAAAAGCATCATACCAAGAAACACTTGTATTCACCCAACAACTTTGAGTTCAGATGTAGAGTTTTAAGATGTTAAATCAATAGTCTTGATTCTCATTACTGTGATTAACTGTATAAAGACTAAATGTCTCTTCACCTGCTTTCTTTGAAAATTGTTTCATTTAAGTTACTCCATTTTGAATATTAATTTCTTTATATGTTTTTTGTCTACCTAAACCCTTTCAGCTACTATAAATAGCTATGTAATTCAGCATGTAAGTGAAGCCATTTGTAAGTCATTCCCTAAGTACAATACAATTCTATTAATTCCACTTTAGTCATATTTTACTAAATTATAGTTCTCTCATATCATTCCTCACCTAAACCTTCAACCATTAAACACTTAACACTCAACCCTAAGCCAGTGCAACGATGCAAACATCTCCACATGTCCAACTGATTAATCTTATTTTCTTCTATTCCCACTTTTCTAATTATGTTAATCTTCAACTCACAATAGGAAACATGAAGATTACTCCTTGGACATTGTGGCCATTTTGGCTTATTTCTCCTAGTTACTTTGTACGAATACTCTATTGCACCGAGTCATTGATTTTGTGAAGCATGATGTTGTGTGGGAGACTAGCGCAGAAGTAACCCTTGGGGATTTCTTGTTTCACTTTTTCCACTTTTGGAGTAACCATAATAGTATAGATTTATGGTTTCACTTTTTCCTAACTTAGGAGTCACCATAATCGATTTCTCCTTTTGTTTCACATCAATGTTCTCAAACTCTTTGAAATCCATCTGTGACAGAATACAATAATGCTCATGTAAGCTACACGCATTGAACAGTTAACTAGAGAAGCTCCATAACATTCACAAAAATATTTATTTTTTTACACTCTTTGAATAATACCAATGTTGTTACATACTATGCCCAAAATTCATAACATGCTACATGCCATACATATAATCCTACGATGATACACATAATGCCTCAAATTCACTGGTTGCTACACGCCATATTCATGCATTTAGCGAAATCCCTAGATTGTTACACACCATGCCCATTTTCTATCCATGTGCTACAACATTTGACCAAATGGCCATGTCGTCTAATATCTTTAAGGATTTCAACAACTTTAAACAGCACCAAATGCCGTTTAACAACAAAACCCTCAGCCACATTCTTAACCAATATGGTATTCAAATCACTCAACCCACTCAAAAACATAACAAAAAATTTGGCACTCATTGACTTGCCGTGTGTAGCCAACTTATTTGTTGTGATTGATTACTTTGCTTTGAACTTATTCGAACACTTTATTATCTTTGAGAATGAATGAAATGATCGTTTAATAAACCAGTCATGTTATATACCTAGCATTTGTGTTTACTTCAATGTCCAATAAATCAAAAGAAATCATCTCATGCAACAAGAGGATGTTTTTGACAAAATGTTGTGTAATAAATTTTGGGCATATTTTTTTCACTTATCTACATGTGTATGATAGTGTTTCATTAAGAGTATTTTTGTCCAAAAATCTTATCTTTTGGTTAAAAACAATTAAAATTATTAATAGTATTATTTCCAAAAACACCTTATATTTGAAGACTAGAAAAAATTTTCGCTTATTCACTATATATTAATTATCTTGCATCAATGTGATGTGAAATATGTAAAATACAAGTCATGCAAGATATATATATATATGATTAATTGCCATATATTATGATTATCAAAATATTTTTAATCAATCAAAATTATAAATGAAACGGTGTTAATTTGATTTCAAATTTTGACATTAATTATGCAATAACTATATATTAATTATACTTTGCTTTGAACTTTTGTATTCTATGATTGCTATATAATTATAACTACCAAAGTAATTAACACACAAATTATTTTCTTTCCTTCATCCCAAGAACTTTCACAACAAAGGAAAGAGGTAGTTGATACCATAAGTGTGTGTGTGTGTGTGTGTATATATATATATATATATATATATATATATATATTCTCGCTAAGTATGAATAATTGGGTGATTCTACTGAACATGGTACCCACAACTCAAAGCATAACGAATAAGATCATCCATCTCGTCCTTGCTAATATATCCGTCCCCATTTTGGTCAGCCTGATGAAGGGCGGCAAATGCTCGATAGGTTGGAAACCGTGAACCTAGGCTGTTGAAAGCACTCCTAAGCTCTTGCCTGCTGAGGCGGCCGTCTCTATTACTATCAAAGCGCCTAAACACAGATGTCAACTGTGCTTCTGTAAAGAGAGGAGGTGAAAGTTTAGTGTTGGAGGTACCCTTATGCCCAAAGGTATGTAGTCTGCAATCATTTGTAGATTTGGGGTTGTTTTGGTTTCGAACAAGGCGGTAATCCAGGTTCTTACTAGTCGTATAACTTGCTGACCCTGGCCAAACCATAGTGGCAATTTTAATGGAGGTATTCTTGTTTAAGTGTTTGGTTGTGATGGGAAGAAGGCAAGGTTAAGGGAGTATGCCTTGGTTTGTTTAGTGAATTTGAAGTTAACTGAGGCAAACTGGCAAACGGTTTTTATAGTGAGCCATGGAGAGTTTTTGCCAAAATTCTTGTTAATTAACTATAATGGTGATGGTTAATTTGCATAAAAATTTTGGAAAAGGTAAGGGAAAAGAAAATGACAGTGGAAAGTGAAATTCCTTTACATTGGGTTAATACAATAGAAATTGCACGGAAAAAGTAAAGAATAAGAATTCCAGTACTCATGCATCAGCACAAATACAATGTTTCTCTATATTTTTTCTTAATTTTTGAATAAATTGATAGCTTGTAATAATAAAACAAAATAAATAAAAAACTTTGACTCGGTTGATAATCATGAAATTCCATCCACACATAGATAGAATGAGTTGTTCCTAAGATTCATTTTCCCCTCTTACTTGTATAGAGTTTGTTTTAATTAGCCCAGACATCCCATGTGCAATATTATTCTCTTTTGACAGTTGAGAGAGATCAGACTCCAAGTGCTTGGAACCTGAGACTTTGCAAATACTAACTTGGGGCTCATTTTTGTTCATTGACACGAAGTTTGGCAATGATTCATTGTTACGAAGTTTGGCAATGATTCATTGTTGGTGAGTTCATGATTAATTAATTTTTTATCACAAATTGTATAATTTAGGGAAGAGAAAGCCTGGAGAGAGATATATGAAAAATTTTGGGTACCATGAACTCAATTTAGCCACATGGATAGCTAAATAATTTTTTCACCAAATTTTTTTTTTTTATTTTGTTCATGTGTTCTATCTAGAAAATTAGGAAATTGTGATACTGTTATAATCAATGACCTCTTCTCCTTTCGAATAATTTGCATTAAAACAGATTTGGTTTACATATCAAAACAAGCAACTGAATAATATAGACACACTTTTCAGGCAAAGGGAGAATCATCAATCCTTTTTGATGTAGGTTTGCCACAAGGTGAGAACAAACATGATAACAGCGTAAATTTGAGCAGCAATGGCCCAGGGCTTGGTAAAATAGTTGTGCACATAGTAAGCACGCCATGTAGGCCACCGTCGTTTGCAATGAACGTCCAGTTCATTACAAAGTTTAGAGTAATAGAATTCCTTGACATAAGTGTCATTGTACAGCTTATTGAAAAACTGGGTTGCATCCTCAGGACTCAGCCAGTTATCGACAATTTCGCTCTTGCATAGTATATCCATGTCATTGGTGGTGTCAATAAGGTTATCCAAGACCTTGGCGTAGCAAGTGAAAATAGGTGCACAATGTGGCAAACACTGCTCATACGCGATCAGGTTGCGTAAGATTGTTTCTGTTGTCTCTTGAATTAGCAGGGATGGAATTTGAAGAGAACCGTTGCTGAACTTTATATCCAAGATACTATCTGGTGTAACTTTCTCGAATTTCACACCTGCTTCTTGGAGTCTAGTGACAGTATGAATAGGTTGCCATCCAGATCTTGGGTGGTTTTTTATTTCTTCCGATGGTAAAACCAAGGATAACCTTAACAAATCAAGAATATGCTTGATGTTTTGGCCCGCAAAAAGGCCTGTTTTTATAGGAGGTGAAGAAGATGAGAACATGTTAGCAAAGAAAAGAAGGGCAAGTTCAATCAGGGACTTGGTTTCCGAAGGGAGCTTGGTTTTTTGAAACAAGGCTTCAAGTACAAACCAGGGTATCTGGTTTTCTAGCAAAATCAAGTCATGATGCAGAAATTGGAGCATACAGGACATGGAGAAAATTGGGTCATCCTGCTCTTTGGTGATCTCTCCAGCATCCTTACGGAATAGCTCAATAATGAAGCAAGCATCGAGCACCAATACTTTTACGAATTCATCACCTAATTTTGCTGCATAATCATCTCCTGCATAGTAACCACTAGTCTCTTTCTCAATCAACTTTACGGTATCAATGAAATCAGTTAAAATCTCCTCTTGCTCAATCTCCTTGGCTTCTTCGGACTTTCTCTCCGTACTTGTAATCACTCTGGACAGAAGACCTTTCAAGTACTTGAGTTTGATTTTTTCAGTGACTACCAAATTCTCTTTGCCGTGGTGCACAGGCCCAATTGAAAAGCAATTGGGGAGAAATGAGTTTTCTCTGTGCCTGAAGAGTATGCTTGGGGTTTTGAAGATGCAGTAGCTTGATGCCATGGATAGACGAGCATTCATCAATTCATCTTTCAGAGAAGATAACATTGGTCCAACATCAATTGCAACATTCTTGTCATCTGATCTTCCACTTTTTCCCATTGTTTTCAACTGTTTTTTCCTATTGGGCAAAATTCTTCTTGAGAACTTTCATTTTTAGGTGATAAATAAGGATGAAAGGGAGAAAAAAACATGAAAAGAACTTGAGAATTTGGAATTAACTTGCATACAAAGAAAGAATGTATTTGGGTTAAAATCACTCCTAAATTAGTCTCTTTTTATTACTTTTTTCGAACTCTATTTCAAAAACCATGCTTGTCTCTTGACCATATTCAGCTTGTTAGAAAAATGGCATAGAGAATATTAAGGATCATTATCATTTTTTCATTTCCAAAATTTCAAAAGGAATTTCTGCAATTTAAAAGTGTTTTAATAAAAATAGGGTTCAAAAAGAAAGAATTTCATATGATAAAGAATTTGAAAGGATATTTATAAGTTATTTTAAATTTTAAATAATTATGTTAACTTCGATTTTAAAATAATTGTAATTAAAAAGAATAATACTCTTTTCCTTTCGTTTCGTTTACCTCTATTTGACTTTTTTTGTTAAACAAACTCAACTTTGACAATTGTCTTTTAATTTTTTTTTTTAGATTTATGATTTTGTTAAAAATAATAATTAAAGTTGAGTTTATTGAACCAAAATATGAATAAGGTACAAACAATATGGAACGGAAATAATTTTGATAATTTTAACTTCAGACTAAAAAAAAGTGGAGTAATTAATAAATAATTCAAGTAACTTAAGCAAGCATATGAATGAAAATCATAGGCAGAATATCAACGTACCAAATTCAAAAGTAACTAGTTCCAGTCCCAAGCTAACAGCTATCTTGGGTTCAGTTTCTAGTTTCAATCTTGAATTGCTTGTGATCTGCTCTATCTCAGCAGCCTGCAACAAATCAACAACTTTTACAGATCCAATATAATCTGAGTTAGCAGCAGGAAATTGGCATGCATAGAATTTCCAACTCTTTCAAGATAGGAAACTTTGGGAAATTACCCTGAAAATTATGGCCAAGAAGCTGAGTAAAATTAGATAGTGGCAAATATCTTCTGGAACTAGGCTCTGATCTGACGAAGTTAATTTCTTCTATTCATCATGTTTTTGGCCAGACAACGTTGGCTATGCATTTATATACAAACTACAAGGTCCTGGGAGATGAAACTTTAATTTTATATTTTAATTAAGTGTTGTCATAAAGCAGTGCATAAGTTATTTGCTTTTGTCGACACAAATTAAGAATCCATGCATATAAAACTACATAAATCCATGACACAACTCTCTTGGAAACAAATCTAACCTACAGATAAAACATGCTTATCTCTTTTTAATTATCACCTAGACCTGGAAGGAATTAAAGTCGACACCAAGAATAAGGGAAATAAGAAAAGTTGGAAAGAAAAATGTTGTCTTTGCAAGTTATCCCTTGCTTCAGAATCTGGAAAAGTGATGAACATCAATGTTTGCGCCCTCTGCGATCTCAGGCTGTGGCAGTCATTGAAAAGTAAAGGTGAGGTCAATGATTTCAACTTTATAAAACATATTCCAAACCTATATTTGTTTCCTAAACTATGGCAAGTCCACGTTGTTATGTTTCAGACTCATGGCATATTTGGCTCCAATGGCCTTATAACATACTACTGACTGTGATAGACTAATATCTAATTTGATGAAATAGATGGTTGGCTTAAATTTATTATTAAAATATTTTACTATTTTAATGTTGAATATTAAATAGAAATTTTTATTAATAAAATAATATCTTGAATTGGACTGAATTCAAGTCCAAGTTTAAAATATAATGTCTAAGTTCCAACTCGAGTCAAGTCAAGCCTCCGGGCCTAACAAGCCACCAATCCCATGGACAAGTCTAGTAAGGAAGCAAACTACTGAATTAGGAGGATCAATTTGTATCACATGAGATGCTTTCGAATCTCCCAAAATTAAAGTTATATACACAATTTTCCTTTTGGTTCTAAGAGTGTATATAATTGCATTAATCTTCTTTGTGAAGTTATTAATTTGCTTGCAATTATTCTGTTCTGTAATATGTAGTAAAGTCAATTTGGGGTTTTCGTCTTTTATTTTTGAGTTGCACTTTTTATAGCTTTGAGTCATTGTTTTGTAGATAAGTATTCCCTTCTATTTGAGTTTTTATTTTTTAAAACTGAAGTGTTTTTTTAGATTTGGAGTTTGTTAGACATTTTGTATATAAATTAATGTCAATAATTTGCTTACCTACCTTTAATCATAACGGTTACAATTCATTTAAATTCGAATTTCCCCTTTCTCTTGACTTTGTTTAATTGTAACAAAAAAATTTACATCATCTTATAAAAGAAATGGAATAATATAATAAACTCATGCTTCCATTTAAATCGAGCATAAATCCATTCCCTTTTTAGATTTTGTTTGTCCTCTTGTTGGGAAATTATTATAGGATAGAGAAGAACATGAAGCAATTGGATTCTGGAAAGCTTTTAGTTAAAGCATAGAACCTTCATGGGATTTTTGGAGTGAATAAAGTACATGGTCAAAAGCTCCCAAGCTAAGGTCCTACATTTACTTTGACAAGAGAATAAGATTTCCTTGGTGACCAACGACTTGCATAGAGAGGCAAAGAATATAGTTGAATTATCCAAAATTCATCATAAAAAAATGCAAAAACATATTCTTTGTTAATTATATTTCTTTCATAATCCAAAGTTCAAAATCTCTTAACACTTGTTAATTAATTAATTCATGACAGGGCATGTTGGCTTAGTAAACTATGCATATAAAGAAAGCGTTTCTATGTATCTGCATTCATGAAGGGTTTATAAAAATTAGTATAGTGGCAGCTTATCTTGAATTCTTAAATTCGCGATTAGCCATTGTTGGAGGGAATATAGATATTATTATATTTTTCTCTTTAAGGTTTTTCAGCATTTTGAAAATAAAGGTCATTCTAGTTGGCTATTATACAATTAACGCCATCATGCTTAGGCTTAGAAGGGAAGCTTTAACACATTTTATCATTTCGAATCCCTTTTCTTGGATCGTCACATTGGTTCGATTTTCTCCTTGTTAAAGTAAAATATTATATTAAAATATTGCAAGTAATACAATAATTGGATTGAAAACTGGTTATCCTATAAAAGATTACAGCAAAAACACCACCACACATACAAAATATCAATAGTACAAAGACAGAATTATACTAGATAAACCCGCTAAACATAAATTTAAAATATAATCACCGTTTAAACTTTCTACATATAAAAATAAATAAAAAATAATTTAAAAAATCTCATCAAACTACTGTCAAGTCACAAACATTTATTTTTTATCTACACTTATGTTTGCAAAAACATCTTGGTTAATTTAGTTGTTAGGATTAACTTTGGTTATGTTCTAGAAAATTATAGTCATGCAAAATATTGGTTGACTTAGTTGTGTCCCTTCCCTTCCCTTATTTAGGCACCGATTTCAGAAAATATTGATGATTGGGTTTGTAATTAGATTAAATTGTTTCTATTTCACGTATGGCTTTTTTTATACATGTTCACGTACGCATTTTTCTTTTAGCTTGTTCTCATATAATTTTTTACGTATACCTTTTCTCTATTATTTTATATTCGAGAACAACTCTCATTACATTCATTTACTTTAACAATCATATAATAAGTTTATAACCGTTGCTCACTATATGCAATAAAATCGCCTTTCTAATATCTATATAATGAGTTACAGTAATAATTACTCATATTAAAACTCTTCATAATAATGTCTTTCATTATGCACATTAAAACTTATTCTTGAATAACCGTCACTTCTATTATTATATATAGAACCTTCACAATTCATTTGGGGATTTTCTCTTCGATGCTGAAGTTGTCTCACTCATAGCTTCTCTCTCTAAATTCTTTCTCTAGCACTTTTTTATTTAGTGCTTTTCAGCTTCACGCTACTACTCGCTTATTCTCTATCCATCCTCAATTATTACTCTACTATTCATCTATTCTCTTCTAGAAAATATTGATGATTGGGTTTGTAATTAGATTAAATTGTTTGTATTTCACATATGGCTTTTTTTAATACATGTTCATGTACACCTTTTTCTTTTAACTTGTTTTTGTATAGCTTTTCACTTATACCTTGGCTTAATTTATTATTTTACATTTAAGAATAAGTCTTATTACGTTCAATTACTTCAACAGTCATATAATAAGTTTCTAACCATTGCTCATTATATGCAATAAATTCACCATTTTAATATCTATATAATAAGTTACAGTCACAATTACTTATATTAATACTCTTTATAATAATGTCATTCATTATGCATATTAAAACCTATTCTTGAATAACCACCACTTCTGGCACTATATATAGAACCTTTACAATTTATTTAGTGACCTTCTCTTCGAGGCTAAAGCAATCTCACTCATAGGTTCTCTCTCTAAATTCTTTCTCTAGCACTTTTCTTTGTAGTGCTTTTCAACTTCACTCTACGGCTCGCTTATTCTTTACCTATCCTCAATTATTACTTTACTATTATCTATTCTCTTCCACCTGTCAAGACATTCAATACTTCAAGAACTGTTTCAATCTTTTTCTTCGTCTCTTCTGATATATATTTTTTTATTTGTTTGCAACGCTTACTCTCCCTATCACAAGAACCCTAGCCCCTTTACAATTAACTAAATTTTTTTGACAAATTGTAAGGAAAAGAAAGCAAAGAAGAGATATCAAATGTTAATTTTAGGTGCCCTAAATTTAATTTAGACACATGTGCATGACTAACTAATTTTTTTATTTGTTCATCTACTTTCTAATTTTCTGTTTTTAGGGTGATTTTTTCACTTAAATTTATCTAGAAAATATGAAAATTGGGATACTGTCATAAGAGATGACCCTCTTCTCCTTTTGTTAGCATTAAAACAGATTTGGTTTACATATCAAAACAAGCAACTGAATAAGACACACTTCCTAACCAAAGGGAGTATATCAACCCTTTTTAATGTAGGCTTGCCAACAGGTGAATAAAAACATGATAACAGCGTAAATTTGAGCAGCAATGGTCCAAGGCTTGGTAAAATAGTTCTGCACATGGTAAGCACGCCACCTGGGCCACCCTCGTTTCCGATGACGCTTCAGGTCATCACAAAGTTTAGAGTAATAGAATTCCTTGACATAAGTGTCATTGTACAGCTTATTGAAAAACTGGGTTGCATCCTCAGGACTCAGCCAGTTATCGAAAATATCCCTCTTGCATGGTATGTCCATGTCGTTGGTGGTGTCAATAAGGTTACCCAAGACCTTGGCGTAGCAAGTGAAAATAGGTGCACAATGCGGCAAACATTGCTCATACGCGATCAGGTAGCGTAAGATTGTTTCTGTTATCTCTTGAATTAGCAGGGATGGAATTTCAAGAGAACTGTCTCTAAACTTTACATCCAAGATGCTATCTGCTACAACTTTCACGAATTTCACACCTGCCTCTTTGAGTCTAGTGACAGTTTGAATAGGTTGCCATCTTGGGTGGTTTTTTCTTTCTTCGGATGGTAAAACCAAGGATGACCTTAACAAATCAAGAATATGCTTGATATCATGGTTAGAAAAAGGGTATGTTTTTATAGTAGGTGGATAAGATGAGAACTTGTTAAGAAAGAAATGAAGGGCAAGTTCAATCAGGGACTTGGTTTCGGAAGGGACCTTGATCTTTTCAAACAAGGTTTCAAGTAAAAACCAGGGTATTTGTTTTTCTAGCACAATCAACTCATGATGCAGAAATTGGAGCATACAGGTCACCCTACTCTTCGGCGACCTCTCCAGCACCCTTACGAAATAGCTCAACAATGAAGCAACCATCAAGCACCAACATCTTTACGAATTCTTCACCCAATTCTGCTGCATAATCATCTCCTGCGTAGTAAGCACTAGCCTTTTCCTCAATCAACTTAACGGCACTAATGCAATCAGTTAAAATTTTCTGTTGCTCAATCTCCTTGGCTTCTTCGGACATTATCTTCAGACTTGTAAATGTAACTACTCTGGACAGGAGACCTTTCAAGCACTTCATTTTGATTTTCTCTATAACTAACAAATTCTCTTTGCCATGGTGCATCGGCCCAATTGAAAAGCAATTGGGGAGAAATGAGTCTTCTCTACGCCTGAAAAGTATGCTTGGGGTTTTGAAGATACAACAGCTTGGTGCCATGGATAGATGACCATTCCTTAATTCAACATTCAAAGAAGATACCACTGATTCAACATTAAGTGCAGCAGTACTGTCATCTAATCTTCCAACTTGTTCCATTATTCTAGTCTTGTTTTCTTTTCCAACTGTTCTTTCCTATGGAGCAAAATTCTATTTGAGAACTTTCATTTTTTGGCTATAAAAAAGGCATGAAAAGAACTTGAGAATTTGGAATTAACTTGCATACAAATAAGGAATGTGTTAACGTGATACCTCAAGTTCAAAGAATGTGTTAATGTGTTAAGCATAATGTTATACAAGCAACAATGAGAATAACCAAAATGAGTAGAAGAACTTTATGATGTTGATAACATTGAAAGTAATCTTGAACAAATGACATGGTTCACGGATTAGTTTCTCTTTGAGAAGTTTTGAAGAATTTGACTTGATGACTTAAATTTAAAGATAATTAGAAAGTTTGATTCCTTTAAACCTTTTGTAAAAATACAAGCGTTTTATTCCTCTTACCTTGTTATCTCTTACTTTTTCCCTCTTGCCTTCTACTCAAGTCTCATTATATTATTAATGGTCATCTATTAGAAAAGTCTCTACTTCAACAATCACATAATGAGTATCAGTAAATGTGACTTAATATGCATAATAAAACTCTTCTTAGTAATTTACATATTATATCTATATATTAAATTTTTTTCAATATTCTTATTCATTACGTACATTAAAGTATGTTCTTGAGAAACTATTTCTTAAGACTTTATATATAGAATTTTTTGACAATTCATTTTGGTAGAACAAGAATTCTTGAGCATAGACAAATACACTTTCACTCTCTCTCTCTCTCTCCCTCTCTCTCAAATTCTCTTTTGGTTAGACTTTCTTTGTCCTATTCTCAACATACTCTACCACTTGCCTATTCTTTACAATTTGTCTATCACCCCCTATCATAGCACCCAATGCTTTAAATACTACGTCAATCTTGCTCTCACCCACTTAATGAGCACATCTTTTTTACTTATTTACAACACTACTTTTCCTATGAACCCATCTATATTGATCAAATAATTTCAACTTTGACCGTAATTATTAATTTCAAAAAAATAAATTATGAGATAAAGGAGTACAAAATAATTTAGATTACTTTAACTTCAGACTAAAAAAATAGCGACATAATTAATACATAATTCAAATCAACTAAGCCAGCATAAGAGTGAAAATCATAGCCAAAAATTAATCAGTACCAAATTCAAAAGAACTAGTAGCAGTTCCAAGCCTATTTTGGGTTCAGTCTCTAGTTTCAATCTTGAATTGCTTGTGATCTGCTCTCTCATTAACCTGCAACAAATTGAGAAATTTTACGGATCAAATAACCAGAGTTGGCGGCAGTAAATTGGCATGACAAGAATTTCGAACTCTTTCGAGACAGGAAAGTATGGGAAATTACTCTGAAAATTCATGGCCAAGAAGCCGTGTAGTAAATAGTGGCAAATCGGAACGAGGCTATGATCTAAAGAACTTAATTACTCCCATTCATCATCATTTCCAGCCAGACAGTGTTGGATACGCAGTTATATACAAACCACAAGGTCCTGAGAAAAGAAAGTATAATTTTATATTTCAATTAAGTATTGTCATGAAGCAGTGCATAAGTTCGTTGCTTTCATGCACAAGTTAAGAATACATGCATATAAAACTACATAAATCCATGACACAACTCTCTTGGAAACGAATCTAAACTACAGACAAAGCATGTTTAACTCTTTTTAATTATCACCTTAACCTGGAAGGAATTAAAGTCGAGAGCTGTTCATGCGACACCAAGAATAAAGAAAATGAGAAAAGTTGGAAAAAAAATGGTTGTCTTGGGAAGTTATCCCTTGCTTCAAGATCTGACAAGTGATAAACGTATATGTTTCCACACTCTATGATCTCAGCCATTGACAAGTAATGGTGAGGTCAATGATTTCAATTTTATAAAACAGATCCCAAACATATATTTGTTTCCTAAAAGTCGGAAGTTCACTTTGTTCTGTTTCATATTCATGGCAAATTTGGTTCCAAAGACCTTATAACATACTCGTGGGTGTTGAATTTGTACAAGCTGAGAATGGTTTTAATGTTGGTAGTGGCCGCTGAGCCATGTGAAACTTTGATGTATATGGTTACTGTTGTCTTTTTATGATTGTCTGGGAATTGGCTGGGTACATTCTTTTGTTGTATAGGCAGTGGTCCCTTTTTGTTAGCCATTGCTTCATTTTTGTAAAGATGCAATGAAAATTCACTTGCCTTTCAAAAATAAAAATTACTAGCAGGCGTGAGTGATACTAACATCTAATATTTCAAAGGAATAAATTTATTATTAAAATATAATAAAAATTATATTAATATATTAAAATTAAATATTAAATAAAAAATTATACTAATAAAATAATATCTTAGATTGGATTGAAAGTTTAAGCATCTTGTCCAAAACCCAACTTTGGTCAGGTCAAGCCCATGGATTTGACCAGCAACCAAGCCATGGACAAGTCTTGTAAAAAAAGCAAACCCACAGGACCAATTTGTTAGAACAAAATTAAAAAATTTAGAAATGATTTTTAAGGCATGTAATAACATCATTTTTTTTAAGTTTTATTCACTCTTATTTAAAGTATACAAAATAATTATTGACATATAAATTTTAAAAATATAATAAAATCTAATAATTGATTACATTTTACACTAATAAAATTAATTCACTAAACATCTACTGGTGTCTTATCAAATTTTTATAAGATTTTTCTGCAGTAAAATAATATAAAAAAATTTAAAAATATTAAGAAAGGAAAAAAAGATTGTTCTTTCCTTTACTCTGTTTTATCTTAAAAGAAAGTTTATTTGTAGACAAAGATGCCTCTTCTCAACAAACACAAGTGTTTGTTTTCAATAAACATAATTGTTTATTTTCCAACAAATCTAATTGTTGCTTTTTCACCATAATTATTCGAACAAACTTAATTATTTGAACAAACATAACTCATGAATTGTTCAAAGGACTTTCTTCTTTTCATTCTTCCATTATTATTGTTGATGTCTAACACAGTTTGTAAAATGTCTAACACGATTTGTATCACATGAGACGCCTTCGGATCTTCAAAAATTAAAGTGGTGTGCACATTTTTCTTTTTGGTCTAAAAGTGTATATAATTGCATTAATCTTGTTTACGAGGTTCTTAATTTGCTTGCAACTCTTTTGTTCTGTAATATGTGGTAAAGTTAATTTGGTGTTTTAGTCTTTCATTTTTGGCTGCACTCTTGATACTTTACGTCATTGTTTTGTAGATTGGGATTCCATTCTATCTGTGTTTATATTTTTCAAAACTGAAATGTTTTTTATTATTCAGGGTTTGTTTAGACATTTCATATGTAAATTAAGGTCAATAATTTGCTTAACTACCCTTAATCACTAGGGTTACAATCCATTTAAATTCGAATTTCCTCCTTCTCTTGACTTTGTTTTATTGTAACAAAAAAAAAAAGTTAAATCACCCTAAAAAAGAAATGGAATCATATTATACTAAAATATTGCTGGGAACTTATTATAGGATAGAGAAGAACATGATGCAATTGGATTCAGGAATGCTTTTAGTTAAAGCTTAGAACCTTTTTGGGATTTTTGGAGTGAACAAAGTATATGGTCAAACGCTCCCAGGCTAAAGTCCTAGATTTACTTTGACAAAGTACGATATCGTTGGTGACCAAAGACTTGTAGAAAGAGGTAAAGAACATTGTAAAATTATCGAAATTCATTAAAAAAAAAAAGGTGAAAGCATATTCTTTCTTAGTTTTTTGTTCAATGATCCAAAGTTCAAAATCTCTTCACAATTGTTAATTAATTAATTCATGACAGGGCAAGGAGGCTAATTTGTACATTAGGCATATAAGGAAGCGTTGCGACAGCTGCATGCATGAAGGTCTATTAAAAGGTAGGACAGTGGCAGCTTATCTTGAATTCTCAAATTCGTGATTAGTCATTGTTGGAGGGAATACATACGTATAATTATATTTTTCTCCTTAAATTTTGTCCAGGGTTTTTGGAATTTTGGAAATAAAGGTCATTCTAGTTGGCTATTTTACTTAATGCCATCATGCTTAGAAGGGAAGCTATATCAGACCGAATCCCTTTTCTTGGGTTGTCACATTGGTTCGATTTTCTCTTTGATAAAGCAAAATATTACATTAAAATATTGGCAGTGATACAATAGTTGGATTAAAAAACTGATTATGCTATAAAAGATTACAGTAACAAAATATCATACATACAACACATCACTAATACAAAGACGAAATTACAGTAGACAAATAATCTAAACAGACATTTAAAATACAATAAAAAATCTTGACAAATCAACAGCTAATCACAAACAATTGCTTTTATATATACCTATTTTTTTCTAAAACATCTTGGTTCGGTGCTTAACTAACTATTGCTGTTCTGGTTTGCTAGATCCTTATATCCTACAAGCTGATGGAGTAATGTCATGGCGCTTTCTTGTTAAAGTCTTTTGATTACTACAATAATTTAAATGCTCCTCATAGAACACGTGGATTCCTATGCTTTTCCGAGAAGCGAATCTTGGAATTAATCCAGATGTTGGAATCCGGATCCGCTGCATATCTCAACAGCACTAGTCGTTCTTCGTTTAGAGCCTTTGTTAGGTGCTTCACGCAACAAACATTCTTGGTTTCTTTGTTAGGACGTCCTATCCGAGTGTAGCTACAGTTAATTCTTGCATTTCTTTTAAAGCCTTTGTCAGCTTGTAGGATACAAGGATTCTAGGAAATTTTAAGATTTAATTTTCACTAAGTATTTCGTACATTGGCTAAAGCTGAACTTTTTCACTATGATTGTAATTTTTTCTACAACAAAAGGTAAAAAATGTTGTAGTGCTTTCTCCATAGGCAGCAGAGAATTGAAATTGCATTGCATTTCTATATTGCATGTTAGTAATTTCTGTAAAATTCTAAAATGGTTTGGTGAGAAATAGAATACAACCATTTCCTTTTGGTTAAAATCCACCATTGATTTTTCTTTTTCTGTAAAGGTGAGAGCATTACGGCTTCAATTTAAGATTTTTACCTAAAACTTCCCTGATTGAAAATATATATGATAAATTTTCTTGTGAACCATAAGAGTCATAGAGCAATTGGATAGGTTGAATCTACCGAGTTTTGGCATTGTGAACCATTTTAGTTTCATGCGAATGATTTTTTAAATTTAAAGTCGAATTTAATTTTCTTGGATCTTTCCATGTTCAAATGATAAACTTTTGCCTCATTTATTATACTAGAGGATACTAAATGATTGAGTTTGACTTCACAAAAAAAAAATGTTAATTGACTAGAATGTATATATCTTCAATATATGACTTATGACCATATAGATGAAATAAAAGGTAAATAAAAAAGTGGTATTGGACCAGTTTGATGTAATTGGAATTTTACTCACATCTGAATTATTTACGAACTTTCATAGCATTTGTCAAAGAAGTTTAAAACGGGCATACTTGGATCACTGCCTGATCTTGATATCTTCAGAAACGGTGGATTCGGACCCCAAACCGTTCAAATGTTTTAACTGCTGGTGGACAGACAAAGACTTTGGCAGCAATGTTCGACAATAGTGGAAGGAAGAGAGGGTTTTAGGCTGAAATTAAACAAAGTCAAATAAGCTGAAAGTTTTCATCGAACAGTGGAATAAGAATGTACGTGACATGGTGAAGGAAAGAATTGGTGACATAAAGGATATAAGGGGGAGCAAATGGATTTGATTGGCAATGCCCGAGATTTGAATGAGCAAGAGGTAAAGCTGAAAATGCAACATCACACAAGAATTATGGAAACCAGACAGAAATGGAGAATCAGGTGGGAAATTTTCTTATGTGAAAAGAGAATTAATATATATATATATTGACCATAGCTACATTTCATCAAATTTTCTATCACTTTAAATCAATATGTATACTACTTCTGGTGGTGATTAATTTGTGCGTGGCCTTACCATTCATTAGAAACTAAGCTTGTAAAGCCTTTTTCATTGATAAAATTTATGATTTGATAGAGAAATATAAAACTATATATTAATCATATGTAGTTATGTTTGAATTTTCGTTTGCTATGATAGCTATATTCTGTTGTTTTTTATTTTAAGCATATTTGGTAAATTACAACTACCAAATTAACAGACAAAATTATTTTTCTTTCCTTCATCTCAAGAACTTTAACAACAAAGGAAAGAGGTGCTAGATACCATAACTACATATATATATATATATATATATATATATATCTTAGCTATGAATGAAGAATTAGGTGATTCTACCGAGCACAATACCCACAACTCAAAGCATACCGAATAGGGTCATCCATCTCGTCCTCGCTTATGTATCCGTCTCGATTTTTATCAGCGTGACAAAGCGCCGTGAGAGCTCGGTAGGATGGAGACCAGGAACCTAGGCTGTGGAATGCATTCTTAAGGTCTTGCCAGCTGAGGCGGCAGTCTCCATCACCATCAAAGCGCCTAAATACCGATATCAACTCTGCTTCCGTTAAAGCAGGTGGAAAGTTTCTTCTTCTCGGCTGAGCAAAAGGAGGTGAAACGGTATTGTTTTTCCGAACGAGACGGTGATCCACGTCCTTATTACATGTACAATCTTCTGGCCCTAGCAAAACCATAGTGGTTGTATTAATGGAGGTACTCTGTTAAGCGTTGGTTGGTAAGGGAAGACGGTAAGGTTAAGAGAGTCTTGCTTAGTTGGTTTAAGGAGTTGAAGTTAATAGGGGCAAAAACTAGCCAATGTTTTTGTTGTGGGATGCAGAGTTTTTGCCAAAATTCTTCTTAATTGACTTTAAGGGGGAGTTATGAGAGATGCAGTGGGCAATATGCTGACACTGTTTTCGGGTACTATCCGAGTAAGTGATTCGAATTTTGCTGAACTTTATGCTTCCAAAACAGCCCTCCAAGTCTTCAGCCAGTCACCATTTGGGTAAAAGAGCACTTATCATCGGATCGGACTTAATAGTAGCCGTTCATTGGGTCCTGAACCCTTGCAAAGGGCCATGGAAACTTTGGAAGTGCTCTTTACTGGAATATTATTAGGGAAGCAAATAATTGTGCGGATTCTCTCGTCAAAATTGGGACAAATAGAGATGAGCTGTTCGTCGCATGGATTTGTTAAGGGTAAGGAGAGCTTATGGGGAGTACCGTCGTATAGGAGGAGGGTGGGGGATTGTGGACAGTAAAACAGGTACCAATTCTGTTCCATATGATTGTCTTTATGATTATATCTGGCGGATTGAGAGTAGTTTAGCTCGACACTAGAGATTATCAAAGCGTTGACAATTAGTTGTGTACCTGAGTAGTGATAAGCTGGAGAATTGTACAAGGGAACCGTGGGCAAAGCAAAGGGCTCTCTGTTATAGATCTTTGTCCCTAGCTATGTTCTGTTTTCTGTCTTTATTTGGTAGCTGTTGCTTTGAACCGTAAAGGAGAATTTGTCCTCGCTTTTTCATTGGTTTAACACAGCAACAAACTGATTTCTCAGCAAAAAAATAACTTTAATGGTGATGGTTAATTTGCAAAAAAAATTTAGAAAAAGTAAACAATAAGAATTCCAGTACTCATGAATCAGCACAAATAGATTGTTTCTCCGTATTTTTATTTTTACTTCTTGAATGAATTGATAGTTTATTAAAATAAAATAACCCTGATTTGGTTGGTAATCAAGAAATTCCATCCACACATAAATAGAATGCCTTGTTCCTAAAACAACCATCCAATTTCCCTTTTCCCCTCTATCTTACATATATAGAACTTGTTTTAATTAGCCCAGACTTTCCATTTGCAATATTCCCTTTTGACAATTGAGAGAGATCCAATTCCAAGTCCTTGGGACCTGAGACTTTGCAAACACTAACTTGGGGCTTCTGTTTATTTACTGACAGGAAGTCTAGAAATGATCCATTGTATAATGTAGAGAAGAGAAAGTGGAGGAGAGATATAAGATGAAAATTTTTGGGTGCCATAAATTTAATTTAGCCACATGCATGACTAATTAATTTTTCACCAAATTTTTTTTTTATTTTGTTCATGTGTTCTATCTTTCTGTTTATAGGGTGATTTTTTCACTTAAATTTATTTAGAAAATAAGGAAATTGTGATACTGTTATAATCAATGACCTCTTCTTGACTAATTTGCATTAAAATAGATTTGGTTTACATGTCAAAACAAGCAACTAAATAATTTAGACCCACTTTCTAAGGCAAAGGGAAAATCATCAACCCTTTTTGATATAGGTTTGCCACAAGGTGAGAACTAACATGATGAGAGCGTAAATTTGAGCAGCAACGGCCCAGGGCTTGGTAAAATAGTTCTGCACGTAGTAAGCACGCCATCTAGGCCAACCCCGTTTGCAATGACGATTCAGATCGTCACAAAGTTTAGAGTAATAGAATACCTTGACGTAAGTGTCATTGTACAGCTTATTGAAAAACTGGGTTGCATCCTCAGGACTCAGCCAGTTGTCGAAAATTTCCTTCTTGCATAGTATATCCATGTCGTTGGTGGTGTCAATAAGGTTATCCAAGAGCTTGGCGTAGCAAGTGAAAATTGGCGGACAATGTGGCAAACATTGCTCGTAGGCAATCAGGTTGCGTAGGATTGTTTCTGTTGTCTCTTGTATTAGCAGGGATGGAATTTCAAGAGAACCGTCTCTGAACTTTATATCCAAGATGCTATCTGGTGAAACTTTCACGAATTTCACACCTGCTTCTTTGAGTCTAGTGACGGAATGAATAGGTTGCCATCCAGATCCTGGGTTGTTTTTTATTTCTTCCGAGGGTAAAACTAAGGATAACCTTAGCAAATCAAGAATATGCCTGATATCTTGGTCCTTAAAAAGGCTTGGTTCTTTCTGAAGTGGATGAGATGAAAACATATTAGCAAAGAAATGAAGGGCAAGTTCAACCAGGGATTTGGTTTCAGAAGGGGCCTTGGTTTTTTCAAACAAGGTTTGAAGTACAAGCCAGGGTATCTGGTTTTCCAGCAAAATCAAGTCATGATGCAGAAATTGGAGCATACAAGACAGAGAAAATTGGGTCATCTTGCTCTTTGGTGATCTCTCCAGCATCCTTACGGAATAGCTCAATAATGAAGCAAGCATCGAGCACCAATAGTTTTACGAATTCATCCCCTAATTCTGCTGCATAATTATGTCCTGCATAGTATTCACTAGCCTCTTTCTCAATCGACCTAACGGCAGCAATGCAATCAGTTAAAATCTTCTGTTGCTCAATCTTGCTATCTTTTTCGGACATTGTTCCCGGACTTGTAAATGTAATTACTCTGCACAGAAGACCTTTCAAGTACTTGATTTTGATATTACCTGTGACTGCCAAATTCTCTTTGCCATGATGCATAGGCCCAATTGAAAAGCAATTGGGAAGAAATGAGTTTTCTCTGTGCCTGAAAAGTATGCTTGGGGTTTTGAATATGCAGTAGCTTGGTGGCATGGATAGACGAGCATTGCTCAAATCAACTTGCAGAGAAGATAACAGTGATTCGATATTAATTGCGACACTACAGTCGTCTGATCTTCCACTTTGTTCCATTATTTTCAACTTCTTTTTCCTATTGGTAAAAATTCGTTTTGAGAATCTGGAATTAATTAACTTGCTTACAAAGAAAAAATGTGTTTGAATTAAAAAAAAATTTACTTCGCATTAATTGCCTAATGGTTGGTTTGTAATGCGATGAATGTGTTTGGTGACTATTATTTATTTACCATTCCCTAAGTTTTATGTGAGCATCAAAATTCTAGTTTTTGAATCTATTTGTTAGCTAATTATAACTATTATTGAATTTTTTTTCAAAAATAATATTTATTTTAAGATAAATTACAAAATCACTCCTCATGAAGCTCTCTTTTTATTACTTTTTTTCATACTCTATTCTCAAAACCATGCTTCTTCCATCCTACTTAGTTTCTCTCTTTTTGAAATTTTTTGGTCAAACAAACTCAACTTTGGCCGTTATTTCTTTAAATATCATATAAAATTAAAATTTAAAAATATATGTTTTAAAAAAGGTAAAATTCAAATTTAAAATTTCAATTTTTAAAAAATTTTATAATTTTATGATTTTGTTAAAAATAATAATCAAAAGTTCATTGGACCAAAATGATCAATTTTAACTACAGACTAAAAATTAAAAAAATGACATAATTAATACATAATTCAAGCAAAGCATACGAATGAAAACCATAGCCAGAAAATCAACGTACCAAATTCAAAAGTAGTTCCAGTCCCAAGCTAGTAGCTATTTTGGGTTCAGTCTCTAGTTTCAATCTCGAATTGCTTGTGATCCGCTGTCTCTCTGGGCAGCCTGCAACAAATCACGAAGTTTTACAGATCCAATATAATCCAAAATTAATCAGAGTTAAAAATTCATGGCATAGAAGCAGAGTATACTTAGTTGCAAAAATCTTCTGGAACGAAGCTCTCATCTGAAGAATTTAATTACTCCTATTTATCATGATTTCTAGCTTGTCAATGGTGGGTGCACATTTATATATAAACTACAAGGTCCTGAGAGATGAAAGCATAATTTCTTTTTTATTTCAATTAAAATATTGTCTTAAATCTGTGCGTAAGTTCTTTGTTTTCATGCCCTGTTGGGAAAGAATCTACACTACAGACAAAGCATGTCTAACCTGGAAGGAATGAATTAAAGTCGAGCTGTTCATGTGACACCAAGAATAAAGGACATAAGAAAATTATAGGGTAATGTCTGTCTAGTTCCCCCTTGGAAGTCATCCCTTGCTTCGGGAACTGACCACTGATAAAGGCATACTGGTAGTCATTAATTGACAAGTAATCTCAGCATTAACTTATTGAAATTATTAAATGTTGTTGCTTTTTAAATTAATTTTCAATGCTTTTTCCATAAAAATTGTTTGAATTTAAATATAAAATTAGGATATTTTTCTATCAATTTAAGTTTTTAAGATAATTGATCATCAAATTCTTTCTTTTTGTAAAAGGAAAAAAAATCTAATTGTGTCTCTAATAACAAGTACAGAAATAATTTAATTTTTATTATTAATAAATTGTCCAAATATGTGGTTTCCAAAAAACAAATTCAAACATGTTAAACCAACCATGCAAAACATATATTCCAAGTCTAAAAGCTAGTCCTAATAAAATAGAAGCTTAATTCATATATTTTGTTTTTCCCATGCGCCTTTCATTTTTTCCTTAAACGCCTAATTATAGGTTGGAAACGCCTAATAAAAACTATACATATAGTTTTAATTAACATTGGGCTAATCTGCCACACTGAATTAAGTACTCATTAGGAAAACAAAATTACAATAAAACTTCTATAAATTAATACTCGATAAATTAATAATCTCGATTAAATAATATTTTTTATTGGTCTCGACTTGAGACCAATATGGTAAATTAATTATTCACTATATTTATAAGATAATACATTTAAAAAAATATAAATTCCACTTGATGTATAAATTAATAATCTCCTTATACATCAAAATTATATATATATATGACTCAATCAAGAGGTCTTTTGTAAAATATGACTCAAATGTTTCCTCTTGAAATTAATGTCTCCTTGGACCTCATCTCTTTCTTAATGCATTAAGAAGCTTTGGTGTAGTGTTCTATTATTGCAAAAGAAAATTATGCATAATATATGTATTAAGTTCAATATTTAAAAAAAATATCTTGATAAATTAATTTTTTATCAATTAATATATAAATTAATAATTTATTAATTTATCAATTAAATAATATTTTAATTAATAAATAAATTTACATTATCTCAAAAATATTAATTTATAAAAATTTAAATATAATTGGACCTGACTTCCTTAATGATACCAAGATATTGGATTAAATTTAAGCTATATTTAATTATTGCCTTTTGCTTACATAAGAAAAAGTAAAGGTGAATACTGATGTCTAAGTGCCAACAAATTGGAATTGCAATTTTAATTCCATGCCTTGGCTAAATTGGCAATTGAGTTATGTTACTGTTTCTTCAAAATGATCCATACTTAACTTTCATTCGAAATCCCTCGATCTCTTTGACTTTGTCCCGGAAAAAGTGCTTAAAGTACAATCTCGTAATAATTCTCTTTTATAAAGTTATTTAGTCACAATTTTAGATGTATTTTGTTTAAATTCTTGATATTTAATTTAATTATTAATTATTTATTTTATTTAAGTTAATTATATTGGGTTCAATTCTTTTAAGTTATTTTATGATATTTTGCTTTAAATTTAGTTATTATTTAAGTTAGTTTGTTACTTTTGTAAGTGTGCTATAAAAAGGCTGATGAGTTGTGAAAAAGAATGCATTTAAGGTATGGACTTCTATTGCAGATGTTTCAATATTTGAAGCCTAACTTTCATTATAAAAGTTCAATTGACATTATTCTCGACTATTAAAAAGACAAGAGGTAGAGTTACAACTTTCATATTTACTAGTTTCCTGAGTTTAGCCTTGAAGAAAGAGAAAATCACATTACAAATCGAAGCAATGCAATATAACTTGGAAATTCAAGAAAAAGCATGGAGGGTCGTGGCCATGGAAAAAAGAGTGTCGCGACGCCCCAATAAGGGAAGGACGCTTTGGCTGAATAGAGGACGTAGCGCCACAAAGCCCAAAGGAAAAACGTGAAAAATTAAACTGAGGTTTCTATGTCGCAACACCCAAGGAGAGACCTTCGCGACGCTCGTAAGATAGAAAAGAGTTTTGGTGCATTCAAACTTCTATTTTGACAAGAACTTGCCTTATTTTAGAAACACATTAAAAAATCAATTAAGCAAGAGTTTTTTAAAGAAAAAGAGACATTCAAGCTATCGAGAAAGTAAGAAAAACAAGAACGGTTGTGAATCAAAGCCACCAAGCCTACCCTCAACCGTAAGCCTAAGCCGCAAAGCACCCTAAAGGTAGGAAAAAACCTCTCCAAAAAGGAAAAACACCTTCATCCACCCAACCTTGTTCCACCAATGAAAACTACTCACTAAACCCTAGTAAATCCCCTTGCTTATCCATAGTGCCCAAAAGAACCACCAGAAAATTCTATGTAAAATTTAAATATTAATATATAAATTATTTTTTGATAAATTTATTTTTATAATATTTAAATATTATTTTTTAAAAAATATTTAAATGTTATTAATAAATAATTTTTCAATAAAATCTATTTTTCAACCTCATTTTTTTATAAAATTATAAAAAAATTAATGAGTTCACAGTATTATTAAATATATAAAATTTTTAAAAAATAAATATAATAAATAATTGTTTTTTAAATTGAGTGTTGTCATGTTACACCACTCTCATGAACATACAACCACCCATGGCAATGCCAACGGTAGCAAGCTCAAACCATCGACATGGCTGTTAAACCTTCAACAAAAAGAACCAAAACGGTAGCACAAACGTGGATTCAAGGAAAAAGTGAAGTAACAAGACCTAAAGAACACAAGGAAGTGTCGTACAACCTCAAACAGGAGATAAGAAAACGGCACATGTATCCACTGTGTCACTGCATCATGTACAAGTAAATAAAACGACAAAACTACTCAGATGTTTAGACGCTAAACTTCGAAACATAAAAAAATCGACACCGTACTATAAACTCCCTTCTTCAACCTTCAGCTTTCTGTTGGTTCCCGCCAAACCTTCAACCAGATTGGAATCAAATCTTCAACACACATCAATGTGCAAAATTGGTTGATGTCCATTGAAGTAAAAAGTAGATTCCAAGTTTTGGTTGCAGAGTCAAGTCAAGATGCTTCAATCTTGGTATCTCTCATGGCATTCAGATGTGTTTTGCCAAAGTCTACTGATGCACAATCAACCTTAGTTTCAATAAACAAAAATAGTTCTGTGTCCCAAGAAAGAGGGTTTCACTTTCGAACTTTTGTTGTAATTCAAGCTCAATATTAAAAAAAAAAACACTTACTTCCATTCAAAGATTAGTTTTGTAGAAACAATCTTGGTGTCAAGTTAAAGCATGTTGAAGGATTGATCATTGGGTCTCATCTCCATTTCTGAGTACCCAAACCAATTACGAGTTACGAGTTACGAGTATATTTTTCTTGCACAACATCACCATCTCATCAATAGTTAAGAACAATTTAGCCAGGATTTAGGCAAAACCATGGATTCCAGGAGCATATTTACTTTTCGGAACAAGAGATTTTATTATTTAAAACAACATAATACACTAAAAGCAAGCACTCTTAAAAGAATGCTTCTTATTAATATTGTCTTTGGAGCTTGCTACATCTGATAAACAACTGTTATATAGGACCTTTGGTCAGTAATAGATCTGATTTTTCCTGAGTATAGATGAAAATTAACTTACCAATGTACTACTTGATGGTATAACCACGTTTCATAACATATTGAACCAGCTCTCCAATCTTGTCTTGGCCAATATATCTATTTCCACTTTCATCCACGTGGCTAAGGGCTGCAAATGTTTGCTTGTTTGGGGGAGATACACCGAGGGCTTTGAAAGCATATGCAATGTCTTGCTTGCTGAGGAGGCCATCTCCGTCAGAATCAAAACGCCTGAATATGCTTAGCCATTGTTCCTCAGTGGGCAGAATAGGTAGACTCTTAGTCTTAGTAGTAGTTCTGATGCAACTTTTATCTACATTAGGCTTGCAAACGGATTTCGACATTGGGAAACTGAGAAAGAAGAAACTCGGGCAAGGCTATGCTAGCTTTGTTGTTTGAAGTTTAAGCAGGGTTGAGTTTAAATAGGCTGGTATGGTGGCTTTCTGCTATATTTCTCTGCAGCTTACAAGCCCAGGGAAATTTCCCACTAAATGAGAGGCAACCGCATATTTGGATTCTTGTAATAAGTCGAAAACGCGTCTATCTTTTGACTCCTTTGTAGCTCACCGGCTTATTTCCTAAAGAACTTTTCTTTTCATCGGCTGAAACTTTTCTCAAGTTAGTGGAATCATATTTGCTATACAAATTTTAGACAGCAAAATAGAGTCGTGTACGTTAAACTAGAATTAGATTCTTGATTATACTTCATGACCAAGTTTGGTTTATGGAAATGTCGAGGCAATTGGGAAGTGGATTGTAGCATATTCATCTTTGTCAACAACAATTTACCACCTACTGGCGAGGTCCTAAACACTGTTCCATCTGTATATACCTTTCATTGTTGTGATACAAGTTCTTTATCTGTTTTTTTTAGGTATGACTTTGCATTATTACAATTTAGAAGTTGTTATATCCTTAACCAAAATGGTATTTGGCTTTGGCGTTTCGGACAGAATTTTTCGTCCAAAAAAAACTAATTTCCAGAAAATACTAACTTTTTCTGACAAACTGTTGCATCAGAAAAAGCTGATTTTCTGATATCACAAATTCTATATTTGGTAGCTCTCTTTGTTAATTAATAAACCTGGTAAAGTTAATAAAATTGTCTTTACCTTTCAAAAGAATTATACATGATTTGTCAACACTGAGAATAAGAATAAGAGAAAGGAGAAGAAAAATTAAAAACTTTGTACCATGAATATTATTTTGCAAAACCAATTATTTTGTTTGCCATAGGTGTGTCAATTGTGCATTTGCTGTCCCTCCTTTCTCTTCCCCTGCCTCCAACCCCAACACAAATATATAAAATAAAATTAAAAATTATGTGAAACAAAGATCAATTTACAGAGCATTCACAGAGTTTAAAATATTAAGGACAACTCCTTTTCTCTGGGAGAAGGCCTCAAAGAGCTAAAGTTTCTATTGGGTAGCTATTCTTTAAAGAAAAATTGGAAAGAGAGCTAGTGTTACTTCAATCAATTGATAGCAATTAGAATTAATGTTCCTAAAAATATCATATTAATAAAAAAAACTTACGAAAAATTTTAGATGAAATTTTTAAGACGGATATCCAACTTAAAACTAATTGATAATATAGGTGGAGAGACTTTGTAGCATTCATAATGATCAGTCCTAAACCCCATTACACGAACATTTCTATGACAATCAAAATGATGTAAAAAGGAAGGAAAAAACATTATAATTCTATAGTGTGCTCATTTTCATGTGATTACATAAATATGCAGCTTGCAACATGTATGATGAACACTTGTTTTTGCTTTCTTCTAAAAGTTGAAGGGGATGGAAAGAAGGTAAGAAAACACTTTGTTGAGAAAGTTATGTCCAGGCGAAAATTATATTTTGACTAAGAGCCTTTTCTAGGAAATACACAGTTAACGAATCCGGAGTAAATATTTTACCCTCTTTTTTGTTTCTTAGTCCATATCTCTCATGCCTTCTCTCTGTATATTACTTAACTAAAGAAAATTCTAGTTTCTGAGTTAAAAGGCTTTGCAACGTTATGCCTACTTAAGTACTGAAAATTCTAATTAACAATAAACATGGGCACAAGTTAGTTTGCAGCCCCCGTCCTGGAGACACACCTGCAATGGTGGAGCTCGCTTTTTGGAGTTAAAATAAAAGGGGGACTTGGAAGTTACAAACTTGTACCCTAACAACCCAGGACAACTTTGATCACCTTTGGACAAACACCATAACCCTATTCAAGCCCATATACAACCAGGTTCCAATTCTTAAAAAAATGAAAAATGGATGGAAGAGCAAACAAATTGAAGGCAAAAACACAAAGAACAAACAAAAAAAAAAGGAGAGCAAATCAAAATCAGAAAAATTGAAGAAAAACAACAAAAATGGAAGGGAAGATTAAAAGGAAAAAGATCAATTAAAAAAGGGAAAAAGATCAATCAAATCCCAAAAATCCTTCCACAAATTGAAGGGTTTTATATCAAAAAGTCCTCCCGCGGAATTAAAAAAATCAAGAAAAATAAAATTAAAGATTTGTAATTAAATCAAGATTGTAAAAAACACATATAAAAAAAAAAAGAAAAAAAATTACACAAGAAAACTTAGCAAAAAAGTGTTCTTGGTTTTTTTTTTTTTTTTGGGTTTTGAAATTTTTATATTTAGATCTAGGAATTTTGGGGAAGTTTAGAAAAAATGAGTAACATGAAGAAAGTGGCTTAGGTTATTTTTTAGAGAGGATTTTATAACCTAGTGAAACAACGTAATTTTGGTAATTGAGCATTTGGGCTTTGGGTTAGTTGCCACGGGCCAATTTTGATTAAACCCTCTCATCAGGCCTACGTCTTGGGCTATTAGGTTGGTAGGTTTTCCAAGCTACCTTACTTGAATCCTTAGACATTTGATTGCAGCCCACTTGACCAAAACCACTCTATTTAAATGTTGGTCCACCATTCACCTACCAAATATGGGCTTGAGCCTTCATGTTACTCATTTTATTTATTTATGTTTATTTACTTTTTTTATTTTGTTTTTGGTATTAATGAAAAGTAAAATATTATAAAATAAAGTTTTGTTTTAAATCATAATTAGGTTAGGATGAAATTATTACAACCATAATTAGTAGAATAAAATTATAAAATAAAAAAATAATGAAGATTTGTAATTATTTAAAAATAAATCTTTTTAAATGAAATTTTTAAAGGAAGTTGCAAGGGGTAATTTTTCTTAAAATTTTTAAAAGGAAAATAATTATGGAACCTTACCATAAGGGTTGGGGGTGATCCCATAAATATATTTTACCAAAAAGATTTATTTATAAATAATTAATAAGAACATAGATAAATAAATTATTTGAATTTTTTAAATATAATTTTCATAATGAATGCTTAATATAAAATAAATAGAAGTCCTCTAATGATGGAATTTCAAGAATGTTTTAAGGAATAATTTTCTTGAAAATTTATAGGTGAGAAAATCTTTTTAAATTTTATAAAAAAGATTGGGGAATTTAGAAAGAATTCTTAATATTTAATGACATTTTATTTATTTCAAAATAATAATAAATTGAAGAAATAATTAAGAGAGATAAATTAAGATATCGAAGTAAATTAATTTATTAAGGTTAAAAAAACACAAAATTAATTAGGTATTATTTTGAATGGACATTATGAGGGTGCTAATCCTGTAATTGTGATTCCAAACCTAATCAATTTCGTAGATCGAAACCTATTTTTTTAATGAATTTAAGTCAAGCCTAAAACTTCATTAAGAATATAGATTTAATTAGGTGATTAATAGCACCTAAATTAAAATGATTGATGGTGACTCCTATGTCAAATGGTTGAGTTTTAGGACTCATAACGTTATAATAATTGTTATACAATGATGATAGCTTGAGTAGAAATATGATGGGTTTATGGAAACAAATTTGGCATCTAAACATTCCAAGGAAAGTCATCTCATCTTTGTAGAAGGCAATTAACGATATTCTCCCAACCCATAAAGCATTAATTCAAAGGCAAATAATTACTGAAGTTAATTGCCCTTCTTGTGATGTTGAGTTGGAAACGGCGTTCCATTGTTTTTGTTGCTACCCACTAGTTAGGGCGATTTGGTTAATCTCAAAATAGGGTTAATTTTAGGCAAATGGATGTGATGTTCTCTTCTTTGCAAGATTGGATACTTCATTTATTCAACCTCATGGAGAAAAAAGAGATTGAAGAAATCGTGAGTGTCCTATGGGCCTTATGGAAAGCACAAAACATGAAGATATTCAAGAACCAGAGTCTTGGGACAATGCAGTTGAATTACCTGGCACTTTGATAGAACAATACAGGTCTGTTAATGCGATAAGGATAAAGAGGATGAACTCTCACCAACAAAGTACATCTAAGTGGGGAACGTCAAGGAAAGAAAACTGAATGTGGATGCAGCTAAATTTGAGATAGCAGGTGAAAGGTGGATGGGAGCAGGCTTTGTTGCTCGCAACATGTCAGGGGGAGGTAGAATTAGCTGGCACAAGAAGAAAGCTTACCAGTCAAACGGTAGAAGCAGCTGAATTATCTGCCTTGGTTTGGTCTTTACGTTATTGCCAAAGGGAGAATACTGTGATAAAAGAGATTGAATTGGATTGTAAGGCGGTGGTTGATTGGATTAAAGGAAGACATCTGTCGGGTGTCTGGGGCCATATTATAGAAGATTGTCTCAATGTAATGGTGAGCATTTATTGTGATACTATTCTCTATTGTCCAAGGAAGTGTAATGAAGGAATGCATTTGCTGGCTAAAAGGGCAAAAGACATGAGCGACGAAGCCGTGGCTTGGCTCGATATGTCTCATATGCCTAATGACATTCAACCTGTTATTATGAGAGAGTTTAGAAGCTCATTTGAAGGTTGTTAGGTTGAGAGTGGTTTTTGTATTCTCCACGATTATACGGTTGAAAGGGTACTCATTTTCCCTTATGTATGATTTTTATCCCTCAATTTTTTCATGAAAAGGTTTTTAATGTGGCTCTTTAACCATGCATAGAGATGGTTTTTTTTTTTTAAGTTATTCTAAGTAGTTGTAATTGTTTCCTTTTATATGTCTTAGATGTAATTCATTTTGATGAAGTAATGAAATCATCTTTTACTTCCAAAAAAAAATGTGTCAATTTCATTCATTGTGAACTCGCTAGCAACATCATAAATAAAAGACCATTGAATCTTAAATGGATTTCCCTAATTAAGGTTAATGACAGCAAACAAGTCAAGTTTGGATTGAGTTATTTATTGTTTTATGCCAATGGGATTATTCAGGTTATTGATTTTTGTTTTAGATGATTCAAATTATAATCCCCCACTTTGTATAATTCATCAAAGTGGATTAATTTTTATATGCAGAGTCCAAACAGGAAAAAGGGAACCCGAAACTGAGGGTGCAAAATTTCCAATTTCTGAGGCACACTCCAAAGTGACCCATTATTGACGATTTTTGTGTTATCCAAAGACTTGTCACTGGCAAGAATTGTTTGAATTAAGCCTTTAGAAAGAGTGAAAAAAGACATTTTAGTAAGTAAATCCATAGTATTGCTTGAACTTGATGGAGGCAAGAGGACAAACAAACCAACAAAATGCTGATGACAAAACAGAATGAGATGAGAAAACACACCGAGCACACTGTGCCTGGCTTGATCCATCTTGGTAATTCATCATTAATATGTAAATACTAGTTTGTTTTACTCCAAAGTAAACATAAACAAACCATCAAGCTGTTATATAACAAGAAAAGAGATCATTCCTTCCTGGGATTTACTCCCAATCGATTATTTATTGCAACCGAAGTGTATACCAAACTTAGCTTACCCGATTTTACTTTGCATAACGAAGTCCTACAGCATATTGAACCACAGCGTCCAACTCATCCTCACTTACGTACCCGTCTCCGTTTTCATCAGCATGATGAAGTGCTGCAAGGGTTCGGAAGACTGGGACTCGTGAACCAAGTTCATTGAAGGCTTTCTTAAGCTCTTCCTTGCTGAGGCGGCCATCTTTATTGCTGTCAGAGCGCCTGAATACTTCTTTCAGTTGTTCCTTAGATAAGGGCAAGGGTGCGTGCTTAGGCTTCGAGGTGCCATTACCCCCAACCCTTCTGCAGTTTGGATCCACATCAGTCAGAGCCATAGGAAATATGGAGCCTGGTGGTGCTGGATAGGAGAAACCTGTGTAGGAGAGTATATGCTTGCTTTGCCTTATGACGTTTAGGCAGGGCCGGGGTTTTTATAGAGATTATTTCTCCAAAATATCCTCTTTTTGCAAGTTCAAAAGCATATGCCTTGTTTAGGCTGAGTTTTCTTGAAGTTTGTTTTGCAATTTGTGACTGATCAATTCAAAGTAAGACCTGGATTTGCATCCAAATTTGACACTATTGATCAAGACTTCCACGAATCAGATTTTTATTCAGAATTCTCAGACTGCAAATTGCAACATCAATCACGTCCATTCGCAATTATCTAGAATTAGGTTCTTGGTAAGTGGAATCAATACCTTAAATAAAATAAAAAAGTATAAAACATACAGCTTGCCCGTCAGTAACCCATTTGCTGCATTTGGGAGATTGAAATGTCTTTGTATTAATACCATGAATCGTTTCTACTAATCAGGGCCTTAGGGAATTCTTAACTCTTAACACTCACCGCTAATTTTCTTATTGCTTGTTTCCTTGTATTCTTTCAAGTTGATGGAGCTCTTCACCCACCCAAATGCAGGTGATCAATGTGAGTTCTCGTGATCTAGTGCATTTCGTTTTAGAAATGTTAGCATGGTTTTTAAGTCTCCTCATGGAAAGGAGATTCTACAATACATGGATATGCTTACTGGCATCAAGTCAAGGATTGCTCAGAATCAGAATATATGTATATCACTTTCTCCCCTGTTTATGGGTAGACAAAGCAACCGTGATAGGGAGTTATCACGACTCTGTCCTAAGTCCTAACACCACTTTCTACACTTCGGACTAACTTTCAACCAAATCAAAGGACCTGACAGGAACTACGACTGGGATTCTCTGTCCCTTTTGCATGGTATGAAACAGAATGAGTCAGCCATTGTTATGCTCAACAAGTTAACCAGAATATATAATTTCAATATCTGTCCTCCATTTTTCCATAGAATCCGAAACTCAAATGCTTTTTGCCGGTGGTGTGGTTCTTTCCTTTACCATCAGTTACAGAGAATCCAGACTATATATATTTGCCTGTGGAGTGAGAATTCCTAATAATGGTGCAAATCAGAATTTACCCTTTTCTTCCCTTCACTGACAATGGTTCAGGGTTTCAAGTTTCTTTCAGTTCACAATGATTCCTTGCTCAATTACTGAATAAGTTTATCACCTCAGTAGAAAGCAAGTATTTTTTTCTCAACCTGAGGGTAAATAAAATTAGCTAAGAGGGGAATCAACAGCATAACTTATAACTTATGAGAAAGCCCACTTTGGGTATGGATTGTGTCATGAAACCTACCAAGCAGACAAATACATTGGGACCAAAAATGAGCTTATAGTAAACTTCAAGTGACTAACAATTATCTACTCCGCAATTAAAGGAAGAAATTTTATTGAATTTGTGATAAAAGAAATTTTACATCAATTAAATTAGGGATATTTTGATAATATAAATATAATAAGACTCTCTTTACTTATTGTCAATTAGTTTTAAATTGGATGTTTATCCTTTACGTGAGAGAGAGTATCAAAGTGATAATAAAAAAAATCTCATATAAGTTAAATTTGTTTTATTTTAAAGCATAAATATAACAAGCATCTCTCTGCATAATGTCAATTGATTTTAAATTGAATGTTTATCTTAAAAATTCAGCAAAATTTGCATATATCAACAAGGGCTGCCAGGAAATAAGAGCAAGCAGGAAAACTCGACACAGCAGAACCTTTTCATTAGCATGGTATATATGAAAGTTTAACATCTAACAAGCATCTACTAAATGTACATTACCTGAACACAGCAATTTTCACTTTCTCTTCTACAATACAAGTTCATGGAGGAGGGCTCCTATTTGAAGACGATAAAGTAGGTTTGCATGAAGGTGAGAATCAAAAGGGTAGCAACAGCAAATTGAGAAACAATAGCCCATGGCTTACCAAAATAGTTACGCCTGTAAAAAGCGTGCCATCTAGACCACCAATGATGGCAATATCCATTCACTTGCTCACAAAGTCTCAAATAGTGGAACTCTTTCACGTAAGAATCCTGATATAGAGTCTTAAAGAACTTGGCTGAGTCCTCTGGAATCAGCCAGTTATCTATAATGTCATTATCACATAGAATGTCCATGTCCTTGGGTGTGCTGATGAGGTGGCTTAGAATTATGACGTAAGATGTGACTCTAGGAGTACAATTTGGATAACACTGCTCAAAACTGATAAGATTCCTGAAGATGGTTTCTGTGGTCTCTTGGATTAGCAAAGATGGCATTTCAAGGATGCCATTGCTAAATCTTATATCCAATATGCTACTGGATGCAACTTTCCTGAATTTGATTCCAGCTTCTTTGATACTTGTGGCAGAGGGAAAGGGTTGCCATCCAAAGCAATGCTGGTTATCTTCACCTCTGTATGGCAAAAGCAATGACTTCCTCAACAAGTCCAGAATATGTTTGATCTCCTGGTTGGCAAAAAGGTGAGGTTCAATGGAATGTTTATCGGATGAGAAAATGTTACCAAAGAATTCACGGGTAAGTTCAACCAGGGACTTGCTTTCACTAGGACTAGCAGTCAAGCGAAACATGCGCTCAAGCACTAGCCAAGGTATTTGGTTTTCTAGCAAAATCAAGTCATGATATAAATATTGGAGCATACAGGACATGGTGAATACAGGGTCATCCTCGTCCTTGGCCACCAACCCAGCATCCTTACGGAACAGCTCAATAATAAAGCAAGCATCAAGCACCAAAATTTTCACAAATTCATCTGAGCTGAAACCAATTGTACCTGCATAGCACTGACGAGCCTCTTCCTCGACCTCCCAGATGACATCAATGCACTGCCTCAACCTTGCCTCTGGTGAATGGGATCGAGACATAAGACCTTGCAAATACTTTAATTTGATCTTTTTCGTGTCTGGCAGGTTTGGTTTGCCATGGTGAAAAGGCCCAATTGAAAATGCATTGGGGATATATGCTTGTTCTTTGTGCCTGTAAAGTATGCTTGGTGTCTTGAAGATGCAACACCTAGATGGCATGAAAGTACTGCCCTCTCCCATCAAATTTTCCAGGGAAGATGCCAGTAATTCAGTGGTAGAATTGATAGAAATAGCATGATCTCTTCCATCCAATGCCTTTATAGTGCTGTTCTTGTTCATTTTTTTCCCTTTCTTTCCTCAAGCAGAATTCCTTTCTGGAAAAACATAAGAAAGAAGAAAAAAAAATTAGTAACAGATACCAAAATAACATGTAAAGATGTTATAAGGTGCTCACTCAAAAGAAAATTCGGCTTCTCGATTCAATCTTCAAATCTACAGACAAAAGTCTGTTGGATAATGGAGTTAGTACTGAAAATTTATGGTCAACAAAAGGCAAAAATTAGATATAATAACAAGCATGATTGCATCTTCAGGAGCAAAGCTTTGTGAGAACTGTTGGGGTTAGGCCCTTTTATATTTGAGGTATGGGTAGTAGGACAATAGTTCAGCGTCATATTTCAATGGGAATAAAGCAGATTAAAGGAATAAAATATTATAAAGTTAAAGCAAAAGATAAAGCATATCTAATCTTTTTCTTTTTTTTTACTAATATTTCAGTCTGACATTAGTAATTTTTCTTGCTGTATGCTGGTCTTTAATCCTTCTAGGATATAGACACTTTTGTTTTCTAAAGTATCCTTTGTAAATCTTTTGTTGCTAAATTAATATGAATATAAAGTAAAATAACACAATCTCTATCAATAATCTGACAATTTTAAATACAATATATTAAAATGATACGAGAACGATAGGGAGTTAAATAAGTTTAGGTTTAAAATTATCGTATTTCATATTTTAAATGTGTCAACACGCTTAACACATGATATTAGAATTAAACCCGCTTAATTTACATATAACACATTTAACTTATTTAATTAATCATATTGTCATATCAATTCATATAACATGACATGTTTAACTTGTTTATAATACTTATTTAAACAAATAGGTTAATGTAAATAGTGTTTAAATGAATTTATCATATATATCATACTCATATCATGTCATATAAAATTTAATTCGACTTGTTTAATAATTGTTAATTAATTATATCTTATCTTATAACATATATAATAAATATATTTTGTACGTGTTTAAAATCTTAACATTATTAATTAATCATGTTCTAAATGCACAGAAAGATGCTAAAAGAATTTTTGATAAAGTAAATGGTACCCTTGTATTTACATAAAGTAATGTGTATGCTTCCTTATAGAATTCTTGATTGTCATGTTATCCATTGAAGAATAAGAATAATAAAAGAATGGACAGAGAGCCAAAGTTTAGCATTATGGATTGAATTTAGATAGAAATGGGTTTGTTCATGTGACATTAGAAAAAAAGAAAAAGATCACTTGGGTAATTGGTAGGGTGAGATTGGGTTAAACAATCTTTGACTATAACCCATTTAGAATCTGGAATATCTTTAACTATACTTTAAGGAAGATTCCATTGTTCCTTTTCCATGAGTTGTAACAAGACAATTAATTAATTAATAAGAGTAATGATTATTATAACTCTTTCCAACTTTTACTCTATGCTTTATAGTCCAAAAGGCATAAATGCCAGCTTATCCAAGAGATGCTTACAAATCAAGTTTGTGGATTCTTGTTGCTCTATGTTCCAGAAGGTTCCACGGTTAAAGTTTGGAAAAAAGGAGATTCTAAATTCTAAAATAATAAAATAATATTTACTCCTACTTTTAAGTGTTCTCAACTACCAAATTTAACCCATTAAAATTCACTAATTAATTAAATTATTAGTAATCTTAGATTTAACATTAAATTGCTTTTTATCGGGATACCACAAGGAGCCACATTAGTATTGTTGGCCAACTTTTCTTAGACATTAATTTTTGACAGGGGTGAGTATATATTCGGTAAGTTTGGTCGACTAGGTTTTAAAATTTCAAAAACCGAATTAATCAAATTATTATTAAAAAATAACTAAATTTATTGAATTATATATTAAAATTGAAAATAAT